AAAATTCAGGTTGACTTAAAATAAAAATAAATAAAAAATAAAAAAACTATGACTTGACTTAATAAAAAAAAGAAAAGGGTTAAATAAAATAAACAAGTCCTTGGTTAGTATGTTTAAAATTTATAAGTTCAAATGAATTAACCAATTAATTAAACAAAGTCCTTTTAGTCATTGATTAGTTAACTAAGGCTTTATTTACAAAAGCATGTCAACTCAAGAGGTTAGTTTATCACAAGTATGCACAAGTAAGGAATGCACAAGTAGTCAAGTAGTCACAATATGATGCAATGAGTTTGCAACCAAACCATAACTCTAGTTCTTTAAAGTTTGAGGATTATGGTGGTCAAAGAGGGTCCATGGTTATGAGTCTGGATGCATCGCGCAGAAGCCTTACTTTTGGAAGGGTTGGCGCGTATGGATGGGACCCCGCAAGTTAGACGTGCTTCCATGGTTTGGTGAATTCACAAACTCGGATGTACCCGTCGTTGCACGGAGCGTTCGATTGGGTAGTTGGAGCGTGAATTCCAAGGGGCTAAGACCATATGTAGAACACATATGGGTTCAATAAAGAAGGAAAAACTCAATTAAGAAATGATATCGGCGAGATATATAGTACGAGAATCGGTTAAAACAAGAAGGCAGATTCCTGGATCAATGTCGAAAGAACTCGACGCGAGAAAGCAAGGTCTATTGCGCAGCGGTAACAATATCGCATCGCAATAGAGCTATCGCATGGCGATAGACATTGCTGTCTCATGACAGTTCCTGCGCTTCGCGACAGTTTTCTAAGTTCTTCGGATTTTTCGATTTTAGCAGTATCTTTTAGATTCTAATTGTGAAAGATATTTCCGACTTTCCCTACGTGTAAAATCCTATGTTTTTTTACGCATTTCGGATGGTCTTTCCAATGCGGGCCTTTTTATGCTCATGCCACAATGTAAATCGAAATTACACACATGAATATCTAGAACCTTTCAAGTCTCATCCACTTAATCTAAAGTCAATTGCCGAAATAAATTTTAAGAATCAAAATTTAAAGTCCTTCCCAGTGGAGTCGCCAAAAAACTGTAGCGAATATTTCAAACATCAACTTTGAGCCCCACTGTGATCACACTTTTAGGCATGGTGACGTCCAAAGGGAAGGAAGGTAGACATAAAAGAGTCGCCAACAAGTTTTAGGAACTTGTAAACCGTTCACGGGTGTGAAGGTTACACCCCATTCACGATCACGAAGATTGCTAAATCCATAGTGGTCTGAAACCATGAATGGATATTCGAGGATGATGGTACGAATCCAACTTAAAAGAAATTGAACTCGCCATAAATAGGCCTCTACTTAATTCTCATGTTATTCATGTGCTCTTTCCGATTAACATACATACATCAAATTAGCCCTAAGCATAATTAACCTACGTTGGTTGATTATCAATGCACAAATAAATCTATTATTGGCGATCACTTGAATTAAAATCATATTAGCCTAAATAAAATTATTAATTATCTTTTAGGCTTGATTTCAAGTACAAATTCCCTTAAAACCTGGAAGAAGGGGCGTGATCAAGCAATAATAATAATCATGGATAATCAAGCAATGTAATTATAATTAATTATTGACATAACAATCATCATCATATCATCAATAGTACAATTAGCAAGATCCTACGCATGATACTAAACGGATTAATAATAAACCCTAGCATGTCACTAACAATTAAGATCAAACCTTGAACCTAAACATGATACTAGAAAGCATGACATTAGGAATATTAGAAACAACCATGATATTAGAAATATTAATCAACATCCTAAACATGATACTTGGAATCAAAATAAACATCCTAACATGATACTAGGAATTAAAATAATATTTTAAGCATGATTTCTATATCAAAAGCAAGGAATAAGGATAGTGAATCTACTCACTTTGATGTCTCATACCTCTTTCTATAAAAACAATACACGCGTTAGTTACTTCAAGAAAGATATAAATCAAACAAAGAAAATCAAATAAGAATTGAAATATAGATTTAGGACCAAACCCTTAAAACTATCAACCTTTCACGTTGAGGTAGAAGGCAACTTTGAGAAGGGCTTGGATTATTCAAGGCTTGTGAAGGAAGTATAATGTGATATCAAGAAGGTGTTGGAATGTGTTAGGCTAGGCTAAAAAATAAAAAAAGAGAGAGAAAAGATATAGCTTAGAGAGAGGGATTAGATGACGGTTGTTAGTGATCAAGCTAGTTGATGATTGAAAACGGGAAGAAACGACCTCTATTTATAAGAAAAAAGAAGATCAAAATATCAGAAATAAGTCAGAATTTGATTTGAAGTAAAACAGGATACATCGCGGCGGGATGGAACGACAACAATATTTTGCGGTTTTTGTTTTTATCATAACTTTTGATCCAGATATTAGAATAAGATAATTGTTATTTTATTGGAAATATCTAGAAGTCTAGTTTCCAACCCAACTAGAATCAGATTAATATCTTTTGTAGAATTAATGATATGGCGGAAATAGTGGGACAGTGTCAATTTTGGATAGAGTTTGGTATTTCGTTCATATCTTCTTCGTTATAGCTTGGAATCGGGATTATGATATATCATTTGAAAGATAATTTCAAGGGCTATCCAACGATATAATATTTGGATAAATATTTTGAGGCACGAAAATCATATCTGAACATCATTCAATATGAATAGAACAAGGACTTTCAAATAGAGGAGTTTTATTCAATTTCAAACTCTTTGATCTTTATCTTTCAAAAAGGATAGATTAGAACATTCTAGAGGCTTCTAGAAGTTTTTAAAAAATCCTAATTGGTTTTGGATTGGGATTAAGGTATTGGACCTTCCACATGATTATTAGGTTGTAGGTAAGGTGGACCTAGGTTTGGTTTGGGCTTGGTTTAGTATTTAGGCCATAACTTATTCGTTTTAAGTCGGGTTTGGGCTTATAATACATCGTTGGAAATCTCTTTTCAAGACCCATACAACTAAGCAATAATTGAACCAGTGTTATGGAACAAAATAAATTTGTTTGGAAAATTTTTATGAAGATGACACGAAATGGATGATTTTAAAGACACAAAATGAATTATTTTGGCTTAAAACATTTAAGGAAAGGTTAGAAATTGTTAAGGCTAAAGGAAACTTCACGAGAATCTTCAACTTTTCACCAAACTCGATAATCAAAGACGTGAAAGGCACTCATCACTGGGATCGGTTTTTGGGGAGAAACAATCAGGTGTTTACAGGGCCACAACCGAGTAAAGACATTACATGCTCGTCCAGACAGTCTATGTGGTATCCTTAAAATATCAAGATGGATTGTGAACCTAGCTCAATTCGACCTAAGATTCATGCCCCAAAAGGCTATTAAAGGATTCGCAGTCTCTAATTTCTTGATAGACTTTCCAATAGAAGATTCTACGCCATTGCAAGAGAACGACTTTCCAGATGAAGAGTTGGTGGTCATTGAGGATGATACTTGGACATTATACTTTGACGGTGCATCCAACAATAAAGAATGCGGTGAAGGAGTCTAATTAGTATCACCTAAAGAAGAATATATCCTAATCTAAATAAAGCTTGACTTCAACGTTACCAACAATGCTGCGGAATACGAAGCATGTGTGTTAGGCCTCAAATCAGCCTTGGAATTGAGAGTTAAGAAACTTTGAATATTCGGAGATTCATCTCTTATCATCAACCTAATTTCCAAAAGATGCATGGAAAGTGAGGAGTGAAAGTCTAGATGCTTACCAAACCTATTTGGAAACCCTCAATAAGAAACTTGAAATGGTGAAGTACACATACCTACCAAGAGAAGAGAACAAATTTACCGATGCCTTGGCAAGGCTAGCTTCGATGGTTAGAATTCTTAAGGAAATAGAATAAACCCTCTTATATTCAAGTAATTGAGGATGAAGAGGTATCCCAAGAACAAGAAGAAGAAGAAGAAGAAGAAGAAGAAGAAGAAGAGCCTTGGTATATAGACATCCTCAATTATGTTACCAAAGGGGAATATCCGCCTAATGTTGACAAAAGAGCAAAGCGTGCTCTAAAACTCTTAAATGATGAACTCACAGTATGTGCTCATAAACGATGAACTCCATAAAAGAGTACTTAAAGGTAGAGCTTTCCTATGCATAAGCAAAAAGGAAGCTGAAAGAGAAATGAGAATTATCCTCGAAGGAGTGTGTAGGACACATATGAATGGTAAAATGCTAGCCAAGAAAATCATGCGCCAAGGTTACTACTAGACTACCATCCATACAAAGAGATTGTCATTAATATGTAAAGAGGTGCCCAAAATGCAAGATATACGACAATTCGCAACATGTTTCACCATCTCTCCTTTACACCTACATGTCTCCGTGACCATTCTCAACTTGGGGAATAGACATCATTAGAAAGATTACACTCCCTAGAACAGGAGGTCATGAATACATCCTCGTGGCCATAGATTACTTCACCAAATGGGTTGAAGCAGCCTCCTCGGCAAAACTATCCGCAAAACATGTGGCACTCGATCTTTATTAAAAGGAACATCATATGTAGATACGGAGTCCCACACAAAATAATAAATGACAATGGAACCACTAGGAGAAAATTGCTAATCAGTATGATAATAAAAACCCCCATTTCGCACCGGTTTTGAACCGGTTCTGATTTGAGGGGTGGCAAATCCCAAGACTTTTCGCATCGGTTCAAAGCCGGTGCGAAAACTTATTTTTCGCACTGGTTCTTGATGTGAACCGGTGCATAAAAGTCCCCTAAAATATTTTAAAAAAACTTTTAGCACCGGTTCTTGCCGTGAACCGGTGCCTAAAGTGGCCCATAAAAATTAAAAAAAAACTTTTAGCACCGGTCCAGTTTCAAAACCGGTGCTAAAATTGCCCCAAAAAAATAAAAAATAATTAAAATTTTTTTTATTGCTTTTTTTTCAGTTAAATTAATATATAAACACTAACATATATATAAACTTACATGTTTTCATTAAAATAGGGTGTAATATTACAATTTTCGTCCAAAAAAAAAAATATACAGTAAAATAAAATACAAGGTTGGAATTTTTATTGCAATTCAATAAGGAAATCAGAAATTTGAAATGAAGATCAAGTATACCATCTCATTTTCTGCAGTCACACATTCCTTAAAGATGGTTTCCTGCTAACCACAGTTCACAATTGCTATCATGTATCTTTCGTTCTCCAGCGAACATGGGTAAATAACTTGTTCCTCCTGAATGCCAAGGGAAGCAACAATATCAGACTAAGCTTAATGCTAATCTATTGTCCTCCAATGGGACGTCTTAAAATTTCTACCACCAACTTTATTTCTAACATTATGCACAAATGCCCTAATATTTGAGCAGAGTTTTCCCAAAAGCGAGGGCAAAATTGGTTTGGACTGATTTAATGAAATTACGTTCTAGTCTTAGCAGTAACTAAAATAGGTGTCCTATAAGAAAAGGAAAATAGGTGATGAAGAAGCATACCTCAGGCAATTCATAGAATTCATCTAGAGATATTTGAAGTAGTTAAATCGAATTTTGACCAGTACACCATGCAAAGACTTTACCACTATCATCAGCCACAGTTATTTTTACATGGAAAGTGTGTCTAGTTTTCGTCTCACAGCTACAGCAACGAAATTAACATTCAACAGAACCACTTGCAGTTGTCTTGATAAAATGACCACAAGTAACATGTGCCAATCTTGTATTAACATGACAGTATTCAATTTGGTCCAGCAACACCCTGCAAATCTGCTTGATATTGACAGCAGGAGAAATAGGGTAAGAGTTGTGAACAATCTAACTTATCATCAGATTTAGTTTGTAATTCACAAAAAATAAGGTATACTCTCATTCAGGAATCAGTTAAACACTTAAACCTCATCTCGCAGTGAGACCCCCCTCCCTCCCCTTCTTAATTTTGTGGTGGAATACTACCCAGGTTTATATTTTTCACAACCAATTCTATTTCTGAAAGAACCCCTCACCCACCCCCCTCCCCTTCTTACTATTGTGATTGAATCCTACGTAGGTATATGTTTTTACAACCAATTCTATTTCTAAAAGACTGGAATCAGTCAATAAAAAAAGGTTAAAAAAAATGACTTAAGGGTTTCAGTTGTATTCTTCAAAGAATTGTCAGATTTAAGTATGTAGTATATAATGACTTAAGAATATTTACAATAAGTAAGGTTCCTAGTTTAGGAGTAAAGAGAAATTTTATAGGATTGAGTGATTGATCAAATACACCAGGAGAATATATTAGTCAAGAGAAGATTACTTTCTCAGTAAGCAACCACAAAGGTACTACTCTAGAGACTTCACCATTTAAGCTAGCTAATTCTACACGAGAAGACTTTTTGTAAACCCCAAGCTTCAGCTTTGGCTAAAGTTGCATTGGCATAGTCTATAAGAGTTAACAGCTCCAGATCTTAGTTTTCATAAACAAAAATGTAGTATAATAGAGACAAAGATATATTTAACCAGTCATAGGCTATGCTACCAACATGCAAGTTTAATTATCAAACTGATGAATGCTATCTAGCAAAAAATCACTTAAAACACATAATCAACCAGGTAATACAAAAGATGCTAGCTTGTGGAAGACATACATGTGTACAAGTATTCTGCCTTGACACAGCAGCAAGGTAAGAATGCTTGTGGAGACAAGATGAGTTCAAAATTGCAGACAAGCAGCTTAGGTTGACAAAGGAAGTTTTAGGACCATTTTTAAACCATCGTGCTTCTATACTGTCAAAGAAACTTAATATATTACAATCTTAGGTGAGGCTATACAGAATTTTATATTACTTAACTAGAACCAGATTACAAGAATTGGTCAAAGAAACCAATAGCCAATAAAGATATGTGCATATCAATAATCATTGGAAATAAGTGTTGAGCTCACCCCTTGTGTTTTGTCTTGGCGTATTTTAAACCAGAGATGTACATAGTGTGACCAAGACTCAATCTCCCTAAAGACCTGAAGAACATGATTGAAGAAATCAACAAACAAGTTGATCCTCTAACAAAGAAACCTTTTTCGAAACTTCAAATTAGTAATACCGAGATTCATTAAAATGCAGCTTACACAAATAACTCTTGTTGGATCTTGAATCTTCATATTGAATATAGATTTTGCAGTATTTGCTTCGAGAGATATCCATAACTGCACCATAGATGCTAATGTCAGTCATCTTCTCGTGCAGATCAACAATAAAAGACTGCAAGACTGAACTAGTAAGATATAAGTAAAGATTAAGAATATTAAATACATTTAAATATAGTAACATTTACAATATAGGACTACACAAATGAACAATAGAGGCAGGAAATTAGACAATATGTTGTGTGATACCACTTTCCTTCAATTACAAGATAAATTTATTACTTCCTGTTTGTCTAAAAGGGCCTAAATTTATTAATTTCTGCGTGTCTAACAGGGTCAAGTTACAAGTCCATACAACAAAGAGATAGATGTTACATTGATTTAATAGATGTGAATAATCCTATGTTGTCACCCAATTCACCACCCAAATCGGCTCCAACAAGATTTCTGTAAAGAACATATACGGACTGTAATTACCTAGACTGAGGAGGTTACATTCTTTAAACGATGTAGAGTTGGAGCAAAGAAGAATTGTTTTTACATTGAATTTATGTTTGAACCATCGCAGTGGACGCCTTGCCAAGCATCACCACATGGATCTCCAGCAGCAACCCATCCAGGGAGATTTGGAGAACCCAAAGCAGCATATAAGCAATTAATTGCAGCAACTATGTTGAAACTGTAGGGTTTCGTAGTGACCCGACACTACGCGGAAGGTAACCCACCAAGACCCGCCCCTTAATTAAAACAATTAACAAGCATATTAAACTTAATCAAACAAGATTAAGAACAAGAATTATACCTTTGATGCATGCTTCGCTCCCAAAGAGCTCTTACTTCAAAATCCCGAAAACACGAGATCTTCGACGGATCGTACCCTTGACACGACCCGAGCGTCCTAAGTCTTGAAGGTTAGTCAAGACCCGGACAAAATAACTATGAGTTTTACGAATAAAAGGTTTACTCTTTCTTAGAGTTGCCTTTTTAATTCCACTCAAAGTTGTATTCTCAAAATCCCAACCAAGTGGGTATTTATAGAGAATGGGGACTTGAAACCCGTTTTAATGATCAATGTGGGATCTTGTGCAATTGCAATAATTTTTTTAATTCCAAAATAAATAATTAGGCAAAAGCAATCACAAGGCAACAAGTGGCAAGAGGAGAGAATGGGTGTAGGTGAGGACCATATCCCATGGGGGGGACCATTACCTTGCTCCCCGAGGGAAGCTTGGAGGCTTTGGTCCCCACCTCTCCTAAACCGCCATTCACAAGGCAGCTGGGTTGGCTGCCACCCGGTACTGCAGCACGCACAGCCACCTAGCACGCCTGGCTGGCACAGCACGCATCACCCAGCCCAGCAATTACATGCTGCTAGCGAACCACGCCTTGTGCTGGCCGCTGGGCGTTGGGCGCTGCTGCCTTGCTATCGCAAGCACACGCACATGCATGCATGGTGTTGCTGCCTGGATATCGCACACACACATGCAAGGCTCTCGCATAGCCAGCACACCCAAGCCAGCATACGCATAGCCCAGCCAGCGAGCACCACTCGTCCATGCTCGCACAGCTACGCGCATCTAGCCCAGCACGCACTAGCGCTGTGCTTGGTGCGTGGCCTGTGATGGTGCCTAGCACACACGCAATGCCAGTGCTGCCTGCCAGCTAGCTGTGCTTGGTGCGTGGCCTGCGATGGTGCCTAGCACACACGCAAGGCCAGTGCTGCCTGCCAGCTTGCTGCGCTATGGTGCACACGCTCACGCACACACGCATGTGCCTAGCAATGGGATGGTGTTGTGCGTGGTGCTAGGGGGCTGCAATAGTGCCCACGCTTATGCACACACACATGGGTAATGTGCTTGGTGCGATAGGGCTGCGATGGTGCCTAGCATCATGCTAGGGCCGCGATAGCTCTTAGGCATGATGCTAGGGCTGCGATAGTGCCTAGCACACCATGGTGCGCCTAGGCTTGCGATGAGCTAGCCTAGCCTAGCTACGGCTACACTCATACTTGTTGCTTGTGATTTTGCGACGCTCGGTCTCAATGCCCTTGGCTCGATATCCGACGTCTGTATTTGGAAAACTCTGATGACTCATTAAATCCTTTCGGATTAATTCGTCGTCTCGGATCGCTGATTCGATTGGGTTCGACCCGAAGGGTTCAGTTAAGATTAAGCTGTAACATCAATTGTACATTGATATTACTGATCGGAAGCGGGCTCCACCTAGGTATTCCGATCACTTGACCTTACTGAAGAATTAGCTCCGTAATAATTCTGAACCCTCTATCGGAAGAATACACTTGTTGGAAGGACACTATTCCTTTCAATCTCCCACTTGTCCTTCTGGACAAGTGTGTATGTAGTGTATAGCCCATTTCCTATGTCACTTAATGTTTCTTCGTGAACTATAAGGTAAGATTCTTTGTCATCCTTATTACGTTCAGAAGTGTTTCTCGATCTCCGAGTTCGACTGTCAATAAGCAGATGATTTCTAAAATCCATCTGAGCACGGCTATGCATTTTCACAGTCTCGCTCTTCGAGCGGCCTTGTAAACAACAAAACATTTTTCCCTATTGTTAGTAGGGGGACAATCCCAGTCTTGTATTGTAAGATCTTCTTACTAAGAGGACATAGTCTCCTGAGTGTTCCCGTTATGATCCCCACTTACGGCAGACGTTTGGAAACATCAAAGAGTCTAGTACTCAAACAAGAAAACTTCACAGCACTCATGGTTGGAGGAAACAAGTTCCGATAGTCATAATGAGAAATGTACTTATGACAAAAATTTAAATTTTCTTAAAGTACTCTCATAGGTCTTATCCAATATAATTCCAAACTGTGCCTGTGCAAATGATTTATGACCGTCACGTCCTCGCAGCACAAGAAACGGTGCTGTAAATCATACCTCGATTAGGGATAATTTTCGATTTAATATTCAATGTTCACTTAACAGGTGTTTCTTTATCCAAGACATGGTCTTGATACCCTGTTTTGAATATTTCCGTAAATCGAATGGACTCATTATTTAATTCTAAACCACAATTAAATAGTAATGGAGTGAATGATAATTTTTCATAAAAATTAATTACTCCATTAATAAATGGTTTTAATACAGTGTCATACATTAAATATCCTATTTAATTAAAACACATGTACAGGGAATTTCAAATCCAGTCTCCAACATGCTTGATACCCATTGCCTCAATGTGCTTGTTGTGTTTCACTTGAGGCAGCGGTTTAGTCAAAGGATCGGCTACATTATCATCCGTGCCAATCTTACAAATTCTGATTTCACCTTTGGATTTCCATTCCCTTATCGTGTGAAATCGCCTTTGCACGTGTTTGACCTTCTGGTGCTTTCTCGGCTCCCTGGCTGAGCGATAGTTCCATTGTTATCATAATAGAGATCTATCGGCCCCTCGATTGAGGGTACAACACCATGTTCGTTAATGAACTTGCGAATCCAAACAGCTTCCTTGGCAGCTTCTGAAGCGGCCAAGTACTCGGCTTCACTTGTAGAGTCTGCAGTGGTGCTCTGCTTTGCACTCTTCCAGCTGAACGCTCCTCCATTCAGACAGAATATGTACCTCGACTGTGACTTGAAGTCGTCTCTGTCAGGGAAGCTAGCGTCGGTGTAACCTTCAACAACCAGTTCTTTGTGGCCTCCATACACCAGGAATTTATCCTTGTTCCTTTTTAGGTACTTAAGGATGTTCTTGGTCGCAGTCCAATGCGCCTCTCCTGGGTTCGATTGGTATCGACTCGTTGCACTCAGGGCATACGATACATTTAGCCTTGTACATATCATGGCATACATGATCGATCCGATTAGCGAAGCATATGGGATCTGATTCATTCTTTCTCACTCAACAGATGTTTGTGGACACTGTTTCTTGTTGAGAGTTACGCCATGGGACATGGGTAAATGCCCTCTTTTGGCATTCTCTATGTGGAATCGAGTTAGTACCTTATCAATGTAAGTACTCTAGCTTAATCCAATCATCCTCTTAGATCTATCCCTGTAGATCTTGATGCCTAATATGTACTATGCCTCTCCTAAGTCCTTCATTGAAAAGCACTTTCCTAACCAGCCCTTTACGGACCCAAACAATTTTGTGCTGTTTCCAATGAGAAGTATGTCATCGACATACAGGACTAGGAATGCAATATCACTCCCACTGACCTTCTTGTATACACAAGATTCATCTGGATTCTTGATAAAACCAAACTTGCTAATGGCTTCATCAAATCGCAGATTCCAACTTCTGTTGGCTTGCTTTAGTCCATAAATGGACTTCTTCAGCTTGCAAACCTTCCCAGCGTTGCCTGAATCGACAAAACCTTCTGGAAATTTCATATACACAGTTTCTTCCAAAAGTCCATTAAGGAAGGCGGTTTTGACATCCATTTGCCATATTTCGTAATCGTAATATGCAGCAATCGCTAGGATGATCCGGACGGATTGTAGCGTTGCAACTGGTGAAAAAGTTTCATCATAGTCAATCCCGTGGACTTGTCTATAACCTTTTGCCACTAATCTAGCTTTGTATATTGATACATTTCCATCCTTGTCCGTCTTCACTTTGAAGATCCATTTGCAACCAATGGGTGTATAACCCTCGGGCAAATTCAACAAGTCCCAGACTTGATTTTCAGACATGGAGTCCATCTCGGATTTCATGGTCTCTTGCCATTTTGTAGAGTTAGGGCTCGTCATAGCTTGCTTGTATGTCGCCGGCTCATCACCATCCATAACTAGGATGTCCTGATCATCAGTTAAGACGATACCAAGATATCTGTCTGGTTGAGATCTTTGCCGTTTCGACCTACGAAGGGTGATCGATTGAGCATTTTCAATGTCTGTTTGATTCTGACCAATCTTCTTAGATGCTTCCAAAGTATCTAGATTGTCAGTTTTGTCAGGTTGACATTGTTGCTCGTCCTCTCGAACTTCGTCGAGTTCGATTTTCCTCCCACTTGTCATTTTGGAAAGGTGATCCTTCTCCTAAAAGACACCATCACGAGCAACAAATACGTTGTTATCGGATTTATTGTAGATGTAATACCCTTTGGTTTCTTTTGGATATCCCACAAAGAAACACTTATCCGATTTGGAGTGAAGTTTGTCCGATATTAATCGCTTAACATATGCTTCGCATCCCCAAATCTTGAGTAAAGACAACCTAGGAGGTTTCTTAGTCCATAATTCATATGGACTTTTTTTAACAGCTTTTGACGGAGCTCTATTCAATGTTAGTGCTGCAGTTTGTAGCGCATGTCCCTAGAAGGAGATAAGGAGATAAGACCCATCATTGATCGAACCATGTCTAGCAAGGTTTGATTCCTCTGTTCGTACACTCCATTCCATTGAGGAGTTCAAAGAATGCCATTTTCTTTCAAGTGATCGTCGAATTCATGGCTCAAATATTCGCCACCTCGATCCGATCGAAGTGCTTTACTTTTCTTGCCAAGTTGATTTTCAACTTCTTTCTGAAATTCTTTGAATTTCTCAAAGGATTCAGATTTATTCGACATTAAGTAGACATAGCCATATCTACTATAATCGTCGGTGAAAGTGATGAAATATCGGTAACCTTGTCTTTTGGGTGTGCTCATTGGTCCACATACATCCGTGTGTATTAGACCTA